CTCATTACGTGTACACAATCATTTACGTGTATACTGCATAAATAAATATATAATGTGTATTATTACAATTATATTGTAATATATTGTAATAATACATGTACATCTATTTATACATGTAAACGATTGTGTTTATACACTGTATATGATGTTATACATAAAATATATTATTTATAAACAACTGCACAATTTTATGATTCCCAATATTTCATTGTTATACTTTGCCCCATAATGTTTCTGATCAATTTTCCATGGGACTCTTACGGGAATTTGCGGCAGGGTGGATAAAGGATAAATACTTAATTTTTAAGGAATTTGTTTATAAATTCTTAAAATTAAAAGTTATTATTACAAATCAAATTGAAATATTAAAATGAGTTGTAATGTCTTAATAATTTTTTTAATCTATCGGTGAAAGATTCGATGGCAAAGTCGCTATCCATATGTTTTGTGCGAATAATTAATGCTCTTTGCACAATTGCACCTCAGATGATAAAGTGGTCACAAGAAAATGAAATTGATACAATTGATTACAGAAAATGATTACAGAAAATTTGAAAAAAAATCTCAAACATTCTTGACGTTATTGGTGCAATGACGGAACGTACATTCCAATCAAAGCTCCAAAAGTTGACGCAGAGAGTTATAAATTGGAAATGCTTCTATGCTATCATATTGCAAGGCATATGTGATGCATTAATGAAATTTATTGATTGCTTTGCAGGATATATCTAAATTCTGTAAGCGATTTGAGAATTTTTAGAAACTCAGACATATGTACTAATATAATGTCTAATACAAATCGCTACTTCCCTGGAAATCAATTTTTAATAGGAGATAAAGCTTATCCTGTACAATGGCTAATATCTTTATATTGAGGAATCTTTATATAGAGAAAATGTAAATGACATTAACAGGCGATTTAATGAAGCTTTATCAAAAAGGAGACAGGTTGTAGACAGAATTTATATTTGCTCTCTAAAAGGGACAATTTAGAAAGCTGAAATATTTAGATATGAATCGCACAGATTTAATATCAGCGACAATTTTGACTGCTTGTGTCATACACAACATGTGCATAGATCATGGAGAAATAAATATTGAGGAATATATTAATGAAGGAATGGAAATTAATGATAATATGAATGAAAATATTATAGTTCAAAATTGTCATAATGAAATTAGTAGTAATCAGAAAAGAGATGCTCTTGCTGAATATCTTTATCACAGAGCATAAGTGTATATCAATTTTCTAAATTATATTATTTTGTATTCTTTAGTAAATAAGTCGGTTTTATATCAATTTACTAATTACTGTTAAGATTGTTTGATGACACATAATTAAATAAATGAACATATTTTAAATATATAAAAATAATAAATCATAGCTTTTATTGCTTGAATCTATATTTTATTTATCATATTATTTTAACATATATAATATTACTGAAAGTAAATTAAATATTAATGTACAAGGAATGCAAAACTGTGATATAATCTGCTTATATAATCTGCTTATATAATCTGCTCCACATTTTTATATTATTTGTTTTTCAAGTTAATCATATTGTCCAAGATAACTAAATATTGCTTTTAGTAATAACAAATATAAGTAATAATTATATTGGAAATAATAAAATATAATATGAACATCTCTACTTAAGTATAACATAAACATTCGTTTATAATTACTAAGTACTCTCTTATCTTAAGTATAACATAAATTCATATATAAAACTTTCATATACTGAATTGTTGAACACTTTATATTCATATAATAAAGTTTGCGGCACACGAATGCTTGTGTTCTTGTTGGTTAACTGTCCGTCGCAAAAATGTCAATGATATTATTACTATTTAGATCAATAGTAAAATCACTTGAACTAATGATAAAATTATACAGACTCAATGGCATTATCATTATCGAATGATTTTACTACTTGAAGTATTCAATAAGAAAATCATTCAGTCAGTGATAAAATATTTTATTATTGGATGTAATCCAATAGAAATATCATTCAACTAATGGTATGTTAGTTACTATTGGATTATTGTCAATAGGAATATCATTCGCATTGAAAGCTACTCATTTATATAATCCAATGGTGCTTTCAATAGAATTTTATCAATGGCAATATTTTATTACTGAAAATTTTATCACTGACCGGTGATAAAATTTTCAATAGTAAAATATTATCTCAGATAACTAAGCGTGCAATATTTCACGATACCCGTACAAAATACTGCTACCGTATTGTTACTGTACTGTTACACAAAGTGGCGGCGTAACTATATGGTAGCAGTAAATAAGGCACTATAAACATGAATATTTGCATATCCGTCGTTTTTACTTCTTTCTTCACTTCTTGCTCTATTTCTATTCCGCCGCTAAGCTGAGAAAGTTATGGTCGTTATAGGTTGTTATAGGTTATATCTAAGCTGTTGGAAATTTTGTAGCTATTTATGTATTTTCGCTTTGAAATTTTACCATAAGAGACGAAAAGATATAAAAAAACTGAAATATTATATATTAATGAAGGCAAAAAAATTTATAAAATACTTTGTTGCATTGCGGTAACTGTATCAATAAAAGAAAAAGGTATTTGATTATTTAAATTTCCTGCGGATAATATTCGTCGACAACTTGCTGTATTGCTGTAAAATAAATATATGACTTGTGTATAAACATCACTACACTTCCTCGCAGATGAGAAATTTGAATGCTTTTCTTCAACTTGACATACATATTTGGCATCTTATCTAGAAATAAGCTCTGAACGCCAGACACTCTTCAGGTCCTGCTAATATTACGATAGATATTCAACTGGTTTTGAGAGCAAAAATGGAATGAAAGGAGCTACAAAATTTCAAACAGCAAATACAAATCATAACCTATAATGACCATAATCCGTCACAGCTCACTGATGAAATGGGGATAGAGGAGTGGGAAAAAGAATAAAAATGGTGGACGCGAATACCTATGTTTCTAGTGCTCTAGTACAAAAAGTGTACACGATATTATAATCAACAACGTACCTGTACTACATACTATTTAGGTACATCACGGCATATAACCCGTACCGTATCAATATAGCATATTACTATTGACAGAAGAGAGAGACTGTGGAGACCTCTAGTCAAAGATGATATACATGATAACTGGTATGACAAAAGTACAGCGTATGATTTCCTAACCTGAAAATAGTTGTTATAACATTAAAATTAAATATTAGATAGCTGACTGGATTTTCAGTTAAAATGGACAAATTTCTATCAGGACCATATATTGAACAGGTGTATTATAACTATACATCCATGATTATATAGGTGTTCGTGGATCATCAAAGTGCAGCGGTTTTCATACGATTTCAAAAGTCACGGATAGCAGTATGCAACCGGATGGGTGATCGCTTCGAAATACTATAAAGTTAGTTCCCGAATTTAGGGAAAAACTTTTTTTTTGTCATAATTTTATGATGTGTATTCTGGAATATGATATTAATCAATAATAATATTCATTTTACCTATAAAATTACCATTGGACATTACTAGTCAGTAATAAAATATTATTTTATTGGCAAAAACTCATTCAGCTTACTATAAAATACTATAGAAAATTTTTCAATGCCATTCATTTTCAATGAGTTTTTCAATGATACTTTTAATAGTAAAATCATCTATTTTTTCGCGACAGGTGAATTAGAATCTTGCTACTATTGGTTATGATATTGACACTGACAGCACCGCAGCATACGGTGACAAGATTATAATCTAGCTAGCAATTCAGCAGGAAAACAAGCATCGCGTGCTGGCTTAACATAAAAATACTTAAAAATGCAAGCCTTTTTTCAGAATTTTAAAAGAAGATTACAATTTATTGATTAATTTGTCCATTTTTTCACTAAAAACTTTTATTGCATTGAATGGCGATGAATTCTTTGTGTTTCATATACCTTTCCTCTTCTTTTTTTGTTTAATGTTAATTAATGTTATCTAATTGCATTAATATTGATCCAGTTTTAGTTTTTTTGGAATAATTATTTTTCTTTGATGGTTCTTCGGAGGAAACACGTTTTTTCAGTATATTCTTTATTTTGTTAATATCATCCTTCTGCAAAATATCTTTTATATTTATTATATTTTTTAAATCAGTATCCAAGCTATTCCCTGATTTCTAGAAGCAGTTGCAAGGGGGACGACATTGGATTTGTGTCCTAACATTTCATTGAATAAATCAAAATATTCAAATTTTATAACAGCTGCACTACTGGATGTTGCTTTTATATTATCAATTTTTGAATGATATTTTTTTTTAATTTTTAAATTTAAATTCGCACTGCTTCGGTGTATAATGGAAATTTTTCTGGCCAAAATTCGTTGAAATTATTTTTCATACTGCTTCTTTTCACATGATTGGAACAAATTCATATTATTTTTATATTTATATATTAATTCTATTATTGTTGCATTATGAGTCCATTTATTGCTTCTTTCATCGGTATTACTGCAGTATTCGGATGAAGAACTTGGACAGCTTCCATTAGTGGCACTCTTCTGCTGCAATATCAGCATAGATAAAACTCTTGTCTGAAAATAAAATTAAATGAAACGTGTTATTGGTACAATTTTACGTTACATTGATGCTTTACGATGTAAAAAAATTAATTACAAAAAAATAAATAAGTTATAAATATTATGAATAGATGCAGTTCAAAATGAGCAAAAACACAGACAGAGTCTATCTATATATTATATATAGACATATATTATATATGTCTTTATCACGGTTTTTTTAACGGTTTTTCGAACTTCATCTTTCCATAATTTTTACTAAACCCAATCTATATTACTCTAGCTATATTCCCGTGCTGCTGCCCGTGCTGAAAATCTACAGTTTACGTTACGTATACTGTACATTTTCAACACTGGCAACAAATTTTGCATAGTCATTATAAACATAGCCATTATAAATTAATTCCTAAAGACCTCTTTAATGATACAAAATGGTTGGATATAACAGGAATCAGGGCAATAGGAGTAATTTAATTTTATGTTTTCTCTTGGGATACACTGGATGCAGCCTCGCAGTTGTATGTAAGTGCTATACTCAGCTATATTAGAGTGGTGCACATGGCATACACTACATTATTATTGCGCTAAGAATTCTGTTCCGGCTTGATTTCCATTTTCAAATTTTAAATGTCACTGGCTCTATACCGTCTCTTTGACATCATATTGTCTCTGATAGCTCAAAAGTGAGCCGAAACATATAAGTAGATTAATTACTAATAAAGTTGTTTTAATCGTATTAGTTTGCACAAGAATTATTGTGCTTGATTCCTATTGCTCTGTTATATTCAATCATTTTATAGCCATTATACATTCTATCGAAAGTTATTGTAAAAATTATTACAATCTCAATATTTAAATAAAATAATAAATAT